CTGGGTCTGGATGCGGACCCTGGTCCGCCTATTAGTGACTTCTGCCATAAAGGAATGCGCATGGTCAGCAACAAAACTCAGGTTGGAACCGTGATTGATTGGTGTTAAGGGGCCCAAAGTGTGTCGAGAAATCATCACCACCAGCCTGGACTGTTAACAGTAGGCAGGTTGAGTGGATTCATACTGTTAATGCCAAATTCTGACGCTACCATCTGCATGCCACAGCAGAAATCCAGATTCATCAGACCGCGTTACGTTTTTTGCCCACTGCAGCCTAGGATTTCTGTTCTTGGCTGACCCGACGTCTCTGACGTTTCTGTCTGCAGAACTGCCGCTCACTGGATGTTTTTTTGTTTTTCACACCATACTGAGTAAACTCCACCGAATGTTGTGTTGTGTTGTGTGTTGTTGTTTTTGTGTGAAAATCCCTGGAGATCACCACTTTCAGAAATACTCAAACCAGCTTGTCTGGCCCCAACAATCATGCCAAAGCAAAGTCCCTGAGATCACATTTTTCCCCCATTCTGATTTCATGCACTGCTGCCAAATGATTGGCTGATTGGATAATTGCATGAATAAGCAAGTGTTCCTAATGAAGTGCTCGGTGATTGTAGATTGAAATGTTTTAAATATTCTTCTCCCCTCCTGTTTGTAAACGGGGTGGGGGATCTCTCAATCAGTCCCGTCTACGACTGACTGAATATGTTTTGGAAAATTGTTTTTGCTAATGTTAATAGTTTTAGTAGTTGAAATGTTTCAGTTTTTGAAATGCTCCTTTACTTCTATTTTCAACATCATGGCTGATGGCTCTCAGCTGGAGTTAATGAGTATGTGGAGCACGGCACAATTTTGACAGCGTGGCGTCAAAACATAGTGAGTGGATCTTGTAACATTTAGCTTTTCACAACAAAACTTTGAAACTTAGTTAGCAGCTTAGGAAGACACACTTTAACTCAGTAGCAGTACAGTAAATTGGAAAACAAGCAAGAGAGCTGCTACAAACCATGTGAAACCTCAGCATATGTAATCATTGTTACAAAATACTCAACTGTTTTTGAAGATTTAATTCATTGACATCAGTCACATTTTGCTCTCCTAACCTCACATGATGTTGTTCCAACCTACTGAACCTACTGTTTTAACAGGCAGAAGACCACTTTAGCGGATTTTTGGAAACCCAGTGGATTTGTGACAATAGATTTTTTGTTACCTGCACAGGGGATTATGCTCCCAAATCTCAGGTATTAGTGGGTTTACAGGGGGATTACATATTGTACTTGATTTACGGTCGGTCCGAAAAGATAATGCACCAGTATAGAAGCAAGTGTAATTCAAAAATAAATAAATAAACACAAATAAAAGTAGCTATATCCTGAACAAACGTAAGGACAAGCAGCCGAAGCATTAATCATCTTGGAGATTCTGTGTACTGTCAAGAGTGGGTGGTTTTCCCTAATGGCCTAGAAATACGTGACTGCGGCAAATTTGTAACACTGGTTCATTGTTCAGCTACATACTGAAGATACTGAGGCATTCATCCAACGGGAAGTCCTTTTTTATATTGTGAGAAATGAAGCTTCACACTGGGGCCCAGTCTCATTAACATAACATGTAATCTTGTCATGTGGGGCCCCCTCACATCTCACAGACTTTGCATAAGGACTTAACAGTGCCACACAAGTCAGATTTGCATGAAACTGTTATAGTCATGATAACTCAGAAAGCTCATTATGCAGAGTAAATACAGTAGATTCTTTGTAGGTAAGTTTTTTTGTGTGTGTCATGTACACACACCAAGCTCACAACTACTTACAAGACACCACAACATCATATAAGACAACAAACAGAACTACGAAAATAAAGAGCAATTTAATAATTTTTCACATTTCACATGCCATAACTTCTGTCTTATGTTGGTCTACTGCAAATATTCATCAACTACTGTATAATAAGTAGCTGTCCTGCTACTTTTTATGGTCCTAATTTCCAGCCCTGCTGACATGATATATTTCCTCTTTCAGTTCAATCAAATGTTGTTCCTGTATGGATATTATTTCATCATATATACTGCATTTTCTGTTTATAAACTGATTGTTTCAGCTATAATGTGAAGTAACTGTTCTGTTGGCTTTTTGTGGTGACTAGATTAAGTTTATAATGGTTTTCCGGCCTTCCCAGCTTTTTCACACAGTGGGCAAGGGAAATCAGTGACCCAACTAGGGCTTGAGTTGTTGCAGTGGCTGATGCAACAATGCACGATGAAGATCGTGCTTGCACTTGCTAAGGAACCTGAGGCCATTTGTACTAAAATAAATTGTCTAGTTGTACCATAAGTGAAGAAAAAGCATTCCCTGAAGCGAAATTGTCTTGATGACTCAGTCTCTTAATGCATGTACCAGATACCGACAGTACAAAGGGTTTGAATTTTTATCTCCACCCTGGACAGCATATCTCTGCCTCTCTATCCTGGGCTTCTTCAGTGTACTTGTCATGAAAAGTAAAAAAAAATCCAGAAGATATTCAAGGAGGATGAACTCTCAACCTTCTATAGAAAAGTGTCTGCTGGAGAGAGAGTCAGGTTTCACTATAGCTTCACTTCTTGCCCGCTGACCTCCTCACAGCTTGACAAGGACTTGGATTTTACAAAGTCAAGCTGTTGCACAAGGACTCTGCAAAAAGAAATACACAGTACATTGTAAATTATTTAATTTATAACTGCTATATATATTAACCTCGACTATCTTACACTGCTGTGCTGCTTGGCAAGAATGCATTTATCTTAGCCAAAGTGTTGAACCTGGGCCATGCAGAGACTGAAAAACAAATGCAATTCACTGCTGCAGTCAGCTCTGTTGAGGTCAATACACACATAAGTTCATACTGCATGCAGAGATAAATACAGACCAGCGCTGCAGACACTAAATACTGATGTTCAGTGATGTTCTAAAGAGTATTACTTTAGTTGGTGACTTTGGCTAAAAGCTAAATTCCCATATTTTTTCAACCTGGAGCTGGAACAGCTGTTTAAAAATTAAAACGTAGCCTGGATGTAATGCAAGTGTTTACGAAGTGAAGATTTACACATCACTACATTAAAACTATTTCTTACATAGAGATTAGTTGTTACTAAATATTTATACCCAGTTACACTGCCGGGTGTAACTGCTGTGTAACTGAACCAATGGACAAAGCTAACGTTAGCTTAGTGTGAGTGAAAGAGGTATATGGTCGATGTATCTGAACTGACACTTGATTAAAATGCTGTTTAATAATGATCTGAACTAGAGAAATACCCTGAATTACAAACTATCATGCTAGTAACATTAGATTGACTCATCAAATAATTAATGTCAGTTAGGTTAGCGTAATCAGATCCCACTCATTTGAAACGAATATTATGAATTCTTAAACACATACTTCTCCATGTCTTCTCCATGATAGAAATTAAGAGCTAATTTAAAATTATAATACAAATTTGCAAATGGCACTTACGTTTAATATATTACGTGACTTCCTACAACTGTTATTTTTGGAAGATATGTGATACTATAAGGACGTTTTTTACTGCTGATTTCTTTTGATCAGGCAGCCTTTTACCCGGATTTACTACATACATCCAGAGTATCGGTCAGTCCAACTTATATTTACTGCCTCCAATTAGATCTATTGTAGGTTTTAACATTTGCCCCAGTCCAAACAAAAGTCAACAAAGAAATTAGCTGGATTAGCTGTTTTTGCTAACAACAGGATTGATCTATTTGTAGGATTATCCAAGATAGCTGTATGGTTAGGTAGCCAGCAAATGTTTTTTTATCAATGCCAATATCTACATTTATCACTTATTTTATAAATATAATGATTATAACTTCAGCAGAGATAAAAGTGAAATGGCTGAAAAATAAATGTTAAAGAAGAATTTTCATTATGTGTCCTTTTATGATTGTGGCCATTCTGACTAAGGATCATGCTAACTTTGTACTTGCCCCCTTTTGTTATAGAGATTTGGGAAGTACAAATCTAGCATACCTGGGCAATCAGCACCTTCTTTCTAGGGTTCTAGCTTTCTAGATAAATTCAAATTGAATAAATCATTTTCAGTGCTTGTGTCTGAGTCCAAATGTATGTAAACAAAGAAATCAGACACCTAGATTAACGAGTTGCATAGGCATCTACTTATTGGGAAGCCAGCTAACCAAGGAAGCTAGCTTGCAAACTACCTATTCATCTGCAGCAATAAAAAACATTGGTTACATGTCCTCTCAGATATAGTGTGGTTCTACTAAAACAGAGGTATACAGATTTAAATACTACAATTTTGGTGTTAGAGGTAACAGCGTCTTAGAAGCGGGTGTGTTTTCACTGTTTTGGGAAATCGATCTTTTCTTGGGACAATAAACAGATTGGTTTACAATGAATTTATACAGAAAAGACAGCTTTAATTTGAGTGTGACTTCATTTGTTTTGCTGTGATTAATTTTCTCTTTGTTTATGGTAACAGTGCCTGCAGCAGTTGAGCATCCGCCTTTTCTTTCCTTTCACAAACATGTGAAAGTCTGATTTGTAATTGCGGTTGACAACACTTTAACCCACTTTGATTGCATTTTACAGTATTGAAGTATCAAGAAAATAGCATGTTTAAAAATATTTTAGGGCTATTCATTCTCTGTTTATCATTTAGTACCCTTTCACCACCCTGTTTCACTCGTGTGTTTTCCATTTAAACTTATAAAGTGGCAAGCTATGAAAGTTTGAGGGCAGATGTTGTTCAGTGTGGAAACAAGAGTTATAGGGTTTGTTATCTATTTTTTAACGGAACATATTATTAACATCACACATCCTGATTTGTCTTTCAGTTGTAGACTCGTTCCAAGCTAAACATTTTTGGAACAGGACTTCTCAAGAAGATGACATAGCTACCGTACATTGTTGAAGCTATATCTGCCCTCTTCATGTGTATGTAAACAATGAAATAATGTTCTTTCTGGTGTCTTGTCTTGCAGTTGGGTGAGGACACTTTCAACCGTGCCAAGCTGTTGAATGTTGGCTACACGGAGGCTCTGAAGGAGGCAGAGTACGACTGCTTCATCTTTAGTGACGTGGACCTGATCCCAATGGACGACCGCAACCTCTACCACTGCTACGACCAGCCGAGACACTTCGCCATCGCCATGGACAAGTTTGGCTTCAGGTGAGGTGGTGATGTGATTTCAGAGCAGACGAGGTAGCATTGTACCTGACGTCTTGGTACATATTTTTGCTTGTATTACATTTGCCCTAATAAGTCTTGATGTTAAGGAACACTTTTCAGGTTGGCTCTGTACCTCCCTGCCTTTCGAAATTATTACTGTAGATCACCCTCCGTTTGCTGTACACGTATTTTGTAAAATATAAATATGTAGAATTTTAATATGCAACTGGCTGCCTAAGAAAAAATGTAAGAAATGGCCTACAGTTTTTGTTATGACAGACAATTGACAGAGCAGTATCTAATTTGACTAAATCTCATTATACTTTGTAATCCTTGTCTGTAGCCTAAATTAGCGTGAAAATGCACCACAGTTCACTGCTGCCAATTTTGATTTGGTCATACTTCTCTAGTCCTAACAAGAACATGTTACAAAGCATAACTAACAAGTCTAGACTACAGCAAGTGAAAAGACCCTTGTTAACTCTCCAGACTGTTTGTGAACACCGGACCTGCTAAATCAACCTAGATGAAGCATGTTGCTGAAGGATGTGTCGACTGTAGCCACTGTTTCTGAAGCGTGAAGGAGCCATACAACAAAATCTTTGTGTGTCTCTGCGGTTACTGACTCAGTTTGCAAAGTGCAATTTTTGCAGGTAAATTCACCAATGAGGATCAGAATCCATCACACAAAAAAAAACACAATACACTTTGAGTAAAAATAATAAATACACATGAAACAATTAGTCGAGTAATCAATCAACAGAAAATCATCTGCAATTATTCTAATAATCAATTCATTTTTTGGGTAATTTTGAAGTAAAAAATATGAAACATTATCAATTTCCAGCCTCTCGGCTATGAGCATTTACAGCTTTTCTTTGTCCTGTGTGATAATAAGCTGAATATCTTGAGGCCTTGTGTGTTGGTCAGACAAAACAAGGCATTTCATGATCTTATCTTGAAATGTGGGAATTATGATTGACATTTTTTTTTTTTTTTACCATTATCAAACAATTAAAAACAATAATAAAGAAAATAATCAGCCTATTGTTGAAAAATAAAAGATAATTATTAGTTGCATCCCTTATAAACATTTATACATCAATATATACATGTTTTTTTGTCTGTTTGAAACTGAAACACAGAATGATGCTGGAGAGCAGTAGATAATCCTTCCATGAATAGCAAACATCTACAGAATAAAATAGCCTTTGGTCAAATCTCCAGCTTGTTATCAGAAGAGTTAACTGTATCCCGACAGTCAGCACTGAATTTTTGGGTCCTGTTTTAGTTGTGTCTTTTGCATAATGACACCACACCTGCCCTTAATTATCTAAAAGCACTGGAAGCATTGATTAATGGCCTAAACATGGCCAGTGAATGTGACCTACTCATCCAAGAGCTGTCAGTCCACAAGAGTTATCCTACTGAAAACCCTCAGGGGCCACAGCAGCCCCCTGATATAGTGCTCAATAAGCTAATGCTGTCTGGCAACAAATACGATACCAGGTGGTAAGCAAGGTTGTAGTTCGTATTTGCAGTGAATCAGTACAGACTTTAAATAGTTTCATCAGACTTTTTTTTGCTCCCAGAAAATGAAGAAAATGGGATAAAAGTAAAAGCTTGACGGTTAGAGTGAGTGGAAGGTCACAGAATTGATTGTAGTTAATTGCTGATGTAAAAATCAGATCATTGTAGCGGATTGGCTCCCAAGGTTAATGTGGTCTGAGTCAGCCCACCAACTTTTTTTGTTTGGTCTTTCCAGTTTTATATTTTAGGAAGCTGCCAAATTAAAGGAAAAAGTCAGCGACTGTGAAGGAAGGAAATAAAAAAAATTAAAGAAAACACCTAAGCTGTCTCCACTGAGTGAAAACTTGTAATTTGGCTGTGGCATTTCAGGAAGACAACCCTAGCTGCTTCCAAATGTAAAAGCACTGGAAGTTTTTTGATAAATGGTGAAAACATTGGGAGTGAAAGTCAGGTCACATTAACTGCTACTCCATTACCTTAGCACCTCACAACACTAACAGCTGTCTGAGCAGAACGGGTCACCTTGACGTCCATTTCACAACAAAGCTCTTTCAAACCACAAAATATAGTCACTCACGGACATCATGCAATGTATTAAATTATGTTCCCATTATATTAACATAATATTGTGGATGTTTATGTACTTGTTCACTGCTTGGGCATATAGTATGAGTCTGCTACAGCCCATTTAGACTTTGACAGAGATCTAAACCTTACAACTACCACAGTGATTTACGTGGGTCAACATTGTCAATTTTAAGGAAAAATTATGTGTGTGATTGTTATGGCTCTGCGCCTGATGATTCCTCTAGTTACTGTGTGCACAAAATAAAATTCATCCTTAAACAACACCCAAGATCATAAAAAACATATATACGCTGCTCTTCAGAAATACCCTATAAATTACATTTTATCTTGCCCTGTGTATTAATCGTAAAGTTTCTGAGCTTCATTCTAGATTTCCTCTTTCCATTGTATCTTATGGATCTTTAGTAGTTTTTGTTTAACCATATTTATATTACACTGCAAATGACTCATTAAAATAAAATGGAAATCAGAAAGTGAAACTGCAGCCTCAAAGACAGACCTCAGACTCTCTCACCCTTTCAGCAGCTGTTTCTCTGTCTAGTTGCTGCTGATGGGCGTCTTTTTCTGACTCCAACTGCCCACTCAGCGCCAGTCTCCAAAGATACTCTACCTGTTTTGACAGAGACTCATTCTCTTCAGTCTCTGTCTCCTGCCTGGTGGCGAGCCTTGAGGTTTCTCTCTACAGGGCCTGACTGACCTCTTCCTCCACCCTGAGCTTTACAAGCTTGACAAGCTCAAGGTTGGTTGAGGTCACTTCTTTCAGTTCTGCTTTCAGACTCAATTCCTGATAGAGGGCATTTTGCTCAATCCTCAGCTCCTGGATCAGCTCCTGATCCTCTCTCACCTCTTCAGCGTGAGACTGTTTCTCTGCCAAGAGTTGCTGCTGATAGACGTCTTCTTGCAGCTGCAACTCCTCGCTGAGTTTCTTCTGGAGTTCGGTGTTAAGGTACTCTGCCTGTTTTGACAGAGACTTGATCTGATTAGTCCCTGTCTCCAGTCTGGCAGACAACTCACTGATCTTCTCCTCCTGACTGGTACTATGTTGCTCTGCTTTCTGGAGCTGAGACTTCACCACCTCCATGTAGGTCCTCAGCCCAGGTTTTGGAGCCAAAGGCTGATAGAATCCATCTAGATTACATTGTTGTCACTGTCGGCATTTTTTTGTTGTGTCCATTCAAAGATTTCTGTCTCTCAGATTGATGTGTCACCTATTGAAATGTCTGAAATGAAATATTTCTGTTGAACAGTTGCTGCTGTACATACACACCTGGTGATGTCATAGAGCACTGATGTCATGTTGTTGCTTCGATGATCAAGTTAAAAAACTTCCACAGCTCTGGTTCTTTCCTTCCATGGTTACCTTGGTAACTTGCTGTTAACATGGTAACCATCCATGGTATAGGAAATCTCTAGCTGTGTCTCGATCCATGGGCTGCATCCTTTGAAGGATGCAATTGAAGACCAATTCCGTCGCAGTGGTGCAACGAGGCTGCCCCATTTCAAGACTCTTTCATAGGCGGCCAAGAAATGCGTCCTTTGTTTCCCGGGCAACAAAGGATCCATTGGGTGGATCATTAGCAGGCTAACCTATCCCAAGATTCATTGCATACTGGACCTGACCGTCTTATTTTGATTTGGCCTTCGCGGTTGACGATAGCCACAAAGGCCATGCCCTCATAGACTACGTTCTTCGAAGGTTGCAACTCCTGATTTGAGACACAGCTTCTGTCCCTCTGTCTGTATTTCAGTTTTCTCGACAACCACTCATCCAATAAGACTCTGTCAACACTGCACTTCCATGGGTCCTCAGCAAAGCAGAGTTTTAAGTCCAAGTTGAGAAGTCCCACACATTAAACTCGCCCATGACTGATGAAAAACTACAGATGATGGTGCAAACAGCATATTTATTTCACATAATAGAACATCTTTTATATTTTTTGTCCCTTCTAAATTTATATGTTATTGCCAAATTTCTTGCCATTGCTGTGTCTGAGCAGCATTTCATGGAGCAGTTTATGGAGCCACAACTGTCGAAGATATTATATAAGAGTTTTGTTTATCCTCTCTTTAGCGAGACGTAATAAAAAATTTAAACTAAGTTCTCATAGTTCTCAAGAAAAACATCCAGACAGTATATCAGATTCTCTCCTCTCTGTCTCTGTCTCTTGATCTTCTTCTCCCCTAGCATGTGTCCTTTTTCAAGCACACACACACACACACACACACACACACACACGCGCGCGCACACACACACTCCTCACCATATTGTTGCTGGGAGAACTTGTGTAGAAACATACGGTCTCATTAATTTCTGCTTGTCATCTTTCAACAGGGAGCTGTCATACGTTTGACAACACATACTATACAGAATATACACACACACAGACTCACACTCACACACACAAACACACGCACACACACACACACACACACGCACACGCATGCACATATGCATCGCCCTCTGGTTAGTCTCCAGGCGGCTGTCATGACACTCCCAGTTGACGTCCGTCCCACTCCACCAGTCTCACGACTTTTGAGGAAAAGATAAAAAAAACATTTGTCCACCATATTTTGTCCAGTATCTACACAAACACGCACACACACACACGCACACACGGACACACGCACACACGCACACATATACAGTACATATGGCTGGTATGTTCATGGAAAGAACACAAGACGCTTCCCCATCATTTTATTGTTCTTTCTTACCATCAGTCTTTCCTCATATTAATTTTAGTTTTGCTGTTTTCTTGTATTTCTTCTCTTCATTTCCTCTGTTCTGGTCTTGTCTTTTCCTATTTGTCCATCAAAGTTCATATAGCAGGATTCATGTGGAGACACTTGTTATTAACTTTTGCATTATTAGACATTAATAATATAAATGGCAGATACAGAATGTAAGTCATCAAAGACTCTGTGGTATGGAGAGAAATATTTTACAGTTATGTATGACAGCTTGTCTGTAATTCATGGGATTCACAAATGCATTGTCCAGTACACAGTTTAACAATAAATATGAATATGAATAAATATCCACACATATCAGGCGATCTGTGCACATCTAATAATCTGTAAATCAGTGCAAAAGAACATTTTTAGATGCACAGGAAGCTTTTCGAAATCAAATTTTATTAGATTTATGAACTTCAAGTTGAACATACATTATATATGTAAAACACTGGTATTTATTCAAGTTGCAATGTATTTATTTGGAAATTTAGTTGTGCATTTTTTTGTGGATTAGACCAAGCACCATCAAATACCCACAAATCATCGTACCTATTTATAAAACTTGAAGATCATATGACATTTATTTGTCACCATTGTTGAGACTAATTTCTCTCCCTACTCGGAGAACAGAACATGGATGGAGAGTGTTTGCTTGTTGTCTGCTCACTGACAAGAGGTTTTTGCATAAATACCACGGCCCCTGTTTATACCCGGCCATTTCATGTGTCATTAGTGGATTATATATGGATATGGATTATCCACTTAGTGTTAAAAAGGCAACCAAAAATTATCCTCTTAAAAATGCATCCAAGACAAGACACATTAGGAAAAGATCTGACTGCCTAAAACATTTCAAGAGGTTATTCAAATGTAAATCATGATCCATCTCTGCAAGCTGCGTATGAAAAACCAAAACTCCTCTTAACGCCTCGCATCATGTGATGTTGCTGTCCAGGAATCTTGAACCTCAGATTAACAAGCAGTGAGAGGCTCCACTGGACAGTATTCGCTTCTACTGCATCTACCACTGACTGTAAGAAAGGGAGAAGGGATTGTTGTTATTATTAGCTATTTCCTGTGTGGGTAGACATTTTTATTTGATGTCATGTCACAAAATGTTGTGCCTGTCCTACTGTACGAACACAGACTTTAAGGGACTTTTTGTTCTCTTCCTGCAATTATATGGACAAGCCAATCCCAACTTCCTTTGTAGTTGTACTGGATATGATAGGGTGTTTTCAAACCCATATTTGGTTTGCTCTGTTCCAAATCATTGGATAAGTTCAGGTCAGACCTCAATTCATTCTCCATCTCGCTGTTAATGTATGTTGATTTTGCTCATCACCACATCCCTGTATACCAGGCTATGGGAGCCCTAAAGCTCAGATTTGTCAAGTGCACCTTATAGTGAGGTCAGATAGAGGTCAGATCACTTTGCTACCACAAACAAACTGCTGCAGAATTCATTTGTGACTGAACTGAGACCACCGCTTACCTGAATGGGTCTGCTGTGTTCAGATCTTCTTAAACGAATCGTACCAAGTGGGAAAATTAGTCAGACTAACACAGGCTTTAAAAAGCCTTTAAATGAGTGTTAAAGTTACTCAAGCTAGCATTTAAAAAAATCAAATAGCTGTGTCATTTTCAAATAATGATAATACAAAGACAAAACTGTGGTTAGAAACGATACTCTCGTGTTAAAAGTGATTTCTGATTTGGGTTCTCACTTTGCTCTCTGAAAGTTTGAGCTCAGTTTGCACAAAAAGGGAAACGGATATCTTCCTACGTTTTTTTTTTTTTTTAAACCAAAAAACTAATATCTCTTTGTTCCAAAAAAAAACAACACAGCAAAATTTCCATGGAATTTAATCCTGTTTGACAGAAGTGGAGCAAGTAACTGAGGCTGCCAATGAAACCTGTTGTTTGTTTATGCGATTCTATTTCTTTTGTAATAACAAAGTCATTTAAAATGCGACATCTGAAGCCTGTGAAATATAATTTCTTCTTGTCACCTGTCCTCAACTGCTCCCTCATAACGTCTCTCCCCTCTCACCTTCTCTCCCATCTCTTCCTCTCTCCTCTCCTGCAGGCTGCCCTACGCAGGCTACTTTGGAGGAGTTTCAGGCCTCAGTAAAAAACAGTTTCTGAAGATCAACGGCTTCCCCAACGAGTACTGGGGCTGGGGGGGAGAGGACGACGACATCTACAATAGGTAAGTGTGGAAATATATCGCACAAGCTTTTTCATTTTTCAGAAAGGCAATAAAGTTTGAACAACTGAAACTAAACTTAATTACTTGTCAAGAGTAGCATTTTGCAACGAGTACACCACACAGAATATACCATCTGTCAGGGTTATGTTTGGTTGTCTGTTTGGAATAAAATCCTTGTCAGACCACCAGCTGCAGTGCAGGCACACACACACACATACACACACACACAACCACACACAACCACACACACACACAACCACACACACACACACACACACACACACACACACACACACACACACACACACACACACACACACACACACACACACACACAGTCACGGCACTACACGACACGACACCACGACACAGTCAGCCCATGGCAGCAATCACACACACACACACACACACACACACACAGTCACGCACACACACACACAGAGTCACGCACATGCACACAAATATGCACAGTATTTCAGCCTCTACTGGCGACTGTAGTGGTAAAATGTGGTGAATCAAGTCTCTGAAAGTGACACTGAAGTTCTGCATGGAGTGGGTGATTTATTATCAGCTTTCGGAGAAGGAGAATGACTCGTAAATAATTTAACCATTTGAAGCACTTGAGAAGCAGCTTTAAATGAATCGCTTTAGCTCAGTAATGATATTACTGTGGAAGTGAGCTGAAGTCAAACCTGGGAGAAGGATATCTGCTTGACAGGAACACAGAAAGATGAGTGAAGACTGCTTAAATCCATGGAAACACTTACAGGGCCAAGGGCCATTAGTTTAATTTATCATCTACTCAGAGGGTTGTTTGGACTGAAAAGTGTTTAATTATCTGGTGAACTTATGATCTGACTATTAAACAAATGATGACTGCAATAATGCATCATCCATCTGTTTTTGTACTATAGGAATACAATAAATAAGCTTTAAGTTTGATAGCATGAAAATATGGTACTGAAACTTTTCATGGCACCTGAATGACAACTGAAGTTTATATATATATATATATATATTCCCTGATATCCGCTCAGTTAAAGTACACGTGTTACCTTCGCCACTCATATCAACAAACAGGACATGTCTGCTTCATATCACTGCAATAAACTGAAATAAACATTTAAGGTCACGTAAAGATTTTCGCAAATGAGAAAATTTCTTTCAGTCACATAAACACAGCCGTTTGCTTTCAGAGATCGAGGCTTGAGTACACTAATTATAAACACACACAAAGCTACACACACTCAAACAGCAGGACAAAATGCGACCTCCATATTTATTGTATCTCTATTCTTCACTATCTGTTTTTTTTCTTTTTCCGTGCCTGTGTCCCGCTGTCACTCTCACACTGTGAAGCTTATCTTTCTCCTCTCGGTGTAATAGCATTATGAGAGAACTGAAACTATATAATATAAAAATGACATTTGAAAATTGCTGGGTTTTTTTTTTTTTTTTTAGAATGGACTGTGTCTGTCAACATAGTATTGAAGAGATTACAGCTGTTTGTCAGCGTCTGGCAAGATGCGATAAAAGAGATCTATGTGTGGTTCACCGCGCAGTCGTGTTGTGTGTGCATGTGTGTGCGCGCGCAATTATGTGTCTAAGGATGACAGATAAAGTTAAACCTCAAACTTTTTATTGGATGATAGCTGCACTAGGCCATTAGATGCTGTAGATTTCCCTCAAGATATTTTCTGCTCTCCAACTGAGCAATTTCAGCTTCTATGAAATGTGAAGTGACATGCAGGAACATCATTAAAATCACAGTCAAAAAAAAAAAGAAGAAGTTTAGACCTTGACTTCTGCTACTCAAATTCACCTCAATTTTCAAATTTCTATTGTAAATCTCTACTAAAATATTCATGTGAAATGATTTGTTTTTTTATGTATTTCAATGAATAAGATACAAACTGAACAAACAAAATGACATCCTGATGAGATATGAATCAAAGAGCAAGAGCTGTAGTCTTAAATAATTAGAATGATGGCTAATTGAATTGCCTTCAATTTCCACGACTGTGTGGGGTCGGTTGCGTTAATGATATCAGTGGGGCATCTGGTGCCGTAGCAGTTTAGATCCCAGCCATGCAGTTCCTGCAGTAAGTCCCTGGAGTCCATCTTGGGGCATTTGATGCATGTCATCCGCCATCGCTCTCTCTCCCTCGTCTTCTGTCAGCTGTGTACCAGAGGTTTTTAAACTGTGATACACATATTTTTTTCTTTTAGATTCAGTGTAACTTACACTTTTCAAGGATATCATTATCTCCGATGTCCGTCACAAATAAACATCCGTAATTTAAATCATAGAAAAAAAAAATACGATCCCTAAAACTAAATAGTTTGCCTGAGAATCATCACGTCTGTACAAACCTGGATAGTCAGTTGATGTTTCAGGTTGAGGGAAAGTGAGTGCACCAAAAAAAGTTTTATTTTCCAACCAACATCAGCAAAGATACTTGGGTGCAACAAAGGTGAACAGCTGACTGTGCAGGAGAGTTCGCAACATATTGAAAATACAGATAGTGACAGTGGAGAAGTTGGCTGTGCTGCAGGAGTTGTTTGAGAAGTTTCTCTGGACATTTTGATCCTTTTTTCTTTCTTTTCTTTTTCAACCTGAGTTGTGAATCCAAGCAGTCTACACTATAAGCCGACTGGCAGTGAGTGTTTGACTGTCGAAGTTTAGATCTGCATTACATTGACATCACATCCAATAATTTGATAACGTTTGAAAAAGGTTGAGTGGTAGCATTGACCATTAAAACCACTTTTGGCTTCAGTTAACACAAGAGCTGAAATAAATGTAAACAAATATCTGGAGGAGAAAATGCAACATGTTCCAAAGCTAAAGACTATTTGTTTTCCAGATGTTGGTGGAGGCCAATCTGAAGCCCTGTAAATGGTGGCCAGAAACCCAATGGGACGTTCATGTTACTCAGTGTCAGGTGGATGTGCACGTGGGAAGTTGTTTGCGAACAAACTTTACTCACATTTGCTCACTCGAGGTCAAAAAATTCTTTAAGAGGTATTTTAGCAGCTGGTTTAAGTTTCTGCTAGCAGGAGCATTTTTATAACAAGAAGAGAGAAGTTGGCATGAGCCGCAGTGATCAGTTTGATGCACCATCTTCAGAGGCTTTAGACAGAACCCAAAGTTAAAACTTGAACTGCTACACAGATCTTACACAGCATCTCTCAGGGATTTGTCTTGCTTCAGATAGATAATATATGGACAACTATAATATCTCAGTGCTAGAAGAAAGTAACGGGAGAGAAATGATTATAAATGTTCCTCAGTATATGGTGTAGACTTTATCTTATTTCTTTATATGCATTCCTACAACTTGTACATTTATCTCTGTAGCGGGGCAATCAAACGACATACCTTCAGTTACATTGACTTGTAAAGGGTTGTGCAGTGAAATTGTGAAAATTCCCAAAGTCGATCTTATAATGAATTTAAGAAATAAATAAATAAATAAAAACACTGGCAGAAACAAGCAAACAGAGCTGAGCATGAAGGTTGTGTATTGCTCCACTCCAAGGCTCACCACCACCACCACCACCACCCCCCCACACTTTGCACCTTCGCTTTTCAGGGCTGGCTTCTTTTAAATCCTTTCATGTAGCAATGTGAAGGGAAATGCCCTTGGAAAACACACTTGGACAAGCTGTGGGAAGAAGACACTGTGTGGATTCAGCTGAGGTTATCAAAGCAAGCAAAATAGTCTCCTACCCACTTTTCTCATGTAAAATCTTGTCATTTCATCTTTGTGGATTTTTAGCTGCGTCTTCAGGGATGGAAAAGTCTGTCAATCCACTACTTTTTATATTCAGACTGAAATGTCTCAACAACCATTGGATGGATTGCTACGGAATTTATTACAGACAGATTTATTATGTTCCCCAGAGGACGAATCCTACTGACTTTGCTGATCCCCCGATTTTGCCTCTGGTTCTCTTTCACGGTTCCCAGAGGGTGAATCTTAATGACTTTGGTGATCCCCCGACTTTTCCTCCGGCACCAGCATGAGCTTGACTTTTGTGGTTTTGAGTGAAATGCCTCAAATACTGTTGGATGGACTCCATGAAGTTTGGTACGGACATTCAATGTAATAACTTTGATTATCTCTTCGCTTCCTGTACAGCACCAACATCAGGTCCATTACTTTACCTGCAGAACTACGCAGTAACATTCCCATCAGCCTTTGGTGGACTTGTTCAGTGCTGCTTAGCAAATGATTACATGCTAACAAGCCCAGCTGTGATGGGGAGCAAAATCAGCATTAGGCATGCTGACACTGTCATTTAGCTCAAAGCAATGCAGTTCCTTTTTACAGCCTCATGGGGTCTCTAGCATTGCTGTAGACTCTTATTACTGTACCCTGTTATTTAAATCCTAAAAGTATGTCCCATAACTCCATATATTTTTGATTAATCTTAGCATAGCATAAAATGTGCCCACTGCCTGGCCCTATGGCAGCAGACAAACAAACACAGATTTTCCCTTCAGGGATCAATAGAAAATTATTAGTTTTATTCAGAGGCATTTGCAGGCATCATTTTTTGTGTGATCTGAAGCTGAAAGGATTCTTACAATACAGACTGTAGCAGTGTGCAGAGGGGAGGGTGGTGTCTCCAGTTGAGTGAACTAACAGGCGAGCCGGCTCAGTCTCTCAGGACGGTAAAATGTTTAGAAGAGAAGGGTACGGGGATGGAGAGATAAAAGAGCAGCGGTATAGACTGGCGACCATGAAATCTGCCCCTTGTTTTTCCTGCGTTGTTTAAAGGTGGCAGTTTTAACCGGTTTGAACCCTGCAAGCAGCCTGGTGTCCGGTAAAAGTATTCTTGAACCCGCCGCTGAACCTCCATCTGCTCATTCTTTGATAGATGATAGAGCATCACCTAAATGAGTAAATTGTTCATTCACACTCTACTTCAGCACCCCTCCATCACTCCTCTCCAAATCCCCCTCCCCCCCCTTGCACCTCTTTGCCTTGTCT